AAGTGGTTTTTATTTACCGCCTATATATTTTTAGTGCTACCTCTACTGAGTAGCTACCTCTGTGCTGCCTTTAGCGAGTGGCTACCACTGGGGTAGCAAACAGCTACCATGGCCTGTTCCTTGAGTCACGGTGCCATACTGGAGAAAAACATCCGTCAAGTCTACAGCGGTTCTCACGCTGGCTACCAGCTGAGGGAGGGGAGGGAGGGTGGCGTCATCGACATACACGACAGGGTCTTGGAGAAACACGTAAGTCATGTCACGCTTAGCGTGGGTCATGTCACGCTTAGCGTGGGTCATGTCATGCTTAGCGTGTGTCATGTCACGCTTAGCGTGGGTCATGTCACGCTTAGCGTGGGTGATGTCAAGCTAAGCGTTGGTCATGTAACGCTTAGCGTGGGTCATGTCACGCTTTGCGTGGGTCATGCCACGCTTAGCGTTGGTCATGTCACGCTTAGCGTGTGTCATGTCACGCTTAGCGTGGGTCATGTCACGCTTAGCGTGGGTGATGTCAAGCTAAGCGTTGGTCATGTAACGCTTAGCGTGGGCCATGTCACGCTTAGCGTGGGTCATGTCACGCTTAGCGTGGGTCATGTCACGCTAGCGTGGGTGATGTCAAGCTAAGCGTTGGTCATGTCACGCTTAGCGTGGGTCATGTCACGCTTAGCGTGGGTCATGTCACGCTTAGCGTGGGCCATGTCATGCTTAGCGTGGGTCATGTCACTGCAATTAACTTAGAATTAATCATCTTTAAAATATTTATACCATCATCATTTCTAAAAATGAAAACCAATGAATTGTGACATTTATTAAACTGTAAAAAAATTCACTGTTATAAACATATTTTAGAATACATAAGAAATAAACTTGTCATTTAGCTGTGTATGATGACATTATTTGTGATCAATTTGATGTGGAAACATCATCGTTTTTAAATTTCATACTTCAGAGACGTCCACGTGACAGATTTAACTGGAAGTTTGAAGAGTACGTCACAGATTATAAAATACGAATACCACGTGCTCCATCCTTCAGGTGCGTGTCTGCTAGAGAAGCGCGGGAAATTTCTGATCGATTGTACAGACGTCACGAGTCGGCCAATCAGATGACGGGGACTAGTGCTCCGACCAACCAGATGACAGGATCTGGTGTTCTGACTAATCAGATGACAGGGTCTGGTGCTCCGACCAATCAGATTACAGGGACAGATGCTGCGACCAATCAGATGATAGGTACTGGTGCTCTGATAAAAGAAAACCGGTTTGAAATCCCTGAACCGGCAAATAACGAGAGACAAGAAGAGCAGAGACTCAACTCTGTAGGTTCTGGTTCGAATCCTAGTCATGGGGATGGCATCGTGAATAAAATGGGAGTAAAATCCCAAGTTAAGGCTAGCAAGGCAACACGCAGAAGTCAAGAGACCTGCTCACGTGATCAACTGGACACTACACAGATGAAAGATAGCGAAGAGTCTTCGAACAAAACTTCTATCGTGGAGAAGATAAATCCAACAAAACGCTACAGTACACAAGCTCACGACACGGATTCTGCTAAGTGTTGTCCACAAGTTAAATCAGGGGACATAACCAAGAATAATAAACTAAGTTGTACTAAGGGAAACAACCAGGAAAATCATATCGCTACTAGAGAAAAAAATCGTCGCATTGGTCTCACACACAACGGTGATGTTAACGGTGTAGCTGATGACATTGGTGACGATAATCGTGATGATGATTCACTCGTCTACCCTCTACTGAAGCGCATTCTCAATGAGTCTGGTGGATTCAAGGGGTGTGGTGGATTCAAGGGGTCTGGTGGATTCAGGGAGTCTGGTGGATTCAAGGGGTCTGGTGGATTCAGGGAGTCTGGTGGATACAGGGGGTCTGGTGGATACAGACACCCACAACACGACGACATAGCACCTGACAAATCTGCTGAAATCAGGTGGTCTAGGGGATACAGACACCCCCAGTATGGTTATGTAGCCCCTAACAAGGACGAGAAGAACCACGAGGGAGGCGGGAGTCACGTGACCGATCTTGACACGCCGAGACTGCACGAGATGAACATTCTGCGGGAGCTGGTTGGCAGCAAGCAGGTCAGAGGTCAGCACCGCCTGGCTGTAGCCGACAGGCCGCGGGTTCAAGTCTCGCCCTACAGCGCCAGTCACGTGACCGCGGACCTACACCACACGTCAAGCCCCAGGGGGAAGAAAAAACCGGAAGTGGCGTCACGTGGTACGTCATCCAAACATGGCCACACCCAGCAAGCCCTACCGCCCAAATGTTTTAAAAATGTGCAACAGGAAAGACAGTACAAAAGATATTTGAAAAGTTTGAAAAAAATTTCTCGATCCGTCGAATACTGCACGGTTGCTAATGGCAACCAGAAGACGTCCAAGAGAAGCCACGAGTTTCCGGTAGGAAGAGACAAACTTCTAGAGAGGCGGTCGTCTGCTACGTCGTCGGAACTATCGTCTGGGTCAAGTCACAGTAGATAACTCTTGGTGGTAGAAAGTAACAAAAAACAAAAACCTTTGTTGAAACTGTCACGTGATCATGTCGCTTACTTCATGCAGCGCGTGCTGACACGGTGCCGGCTTATCTATGTGGGCTACATAAAAGATAGTCCCAGCCCAGTGGTGGGCCTCTTGGTGCTTTGTCAGCTGTTTCCAACAACTTCCGTCAACTAGAACACACAGTTGGCTTGATTCACTTTTTAGACGCTACACACCATGACAACGTCCCTTTCATAATGAAATAAAACACCATTTTAGTAAAAGTAAAGTTTCCCTTTCAAACCTGACGGTCTATGGGGCAAGTGAAGTAGAGTTCACTTGTTTCTGTGACCTCGGCATATGAAGAGATAGTGTGGTCAGCACTATGCCTAGCCGACTTTACTTCCCCTAATATAAGTTAGGTACCCATCTGAGTTGGGTGGACTCAGGACTCATTTTAGTCTAGCATGGGAAAATTAACACGAGAAGAAGATATCAAGCACGCCGTTGATCGAAGTTTGTTTTGTTTGTTTTTATTTTGTCAGTTTATTTTGTCAGGTTATTTTGTCAGTTTATTTTGTTAATTTATTTTGTCAGGTTGTTTTATCAGGTTATTTTGTTAGTTTTTTAAAAAAATCAGTTTTCATTGTCTTTTAATTTAAATGTAAAACAAACTGATTAAGAACGTAGGTTTGAAGATATTTACGCCTACAAAATTTGGATAGTCTGGTAAAATGTCACACTCTTCAGTTTAAGTACACTTTAGCGATAATTCTTGGATTCTGTTAGTTTTATCCTACACTTTAGTTACACAATTTAAAATATCAATTTATCAACATGTGCCTTCCTACACTTTAGTTACACAATTTAAAATATCAATTTATCAACATGTGCCTTCCTACACTTTTGTTACACAATTTAAAATATCAATTTATCAACATGTGCCTTCCTACACTTTTGTTACACTATTTAAAATATCAATTTATCAACATGTGCCTTCCTACACTTTAGTTACACTATTTAAAATATCAATTTATCAACATGTGCCTTCCTACACTTTAGTTACACAATTTAAAATATCAATTTATCAACATGTGCCTTCCTACACTTTAGTTACACTATTTAAAATATCAATTTATCAACATGTGCCTTCCTACACTTTAGTTACACAATTTAAAATATCAATTTATCAACATGTGCCTTCCTACACTTTAGTTACACTATTTAAAATATCAATTTATCAACATGTGCCTTCCTACACTTTTGTTACACTATTTAAAATATTAATTTATCAACATGTGCCTTTTCGAATGCTTGTAAAAAAATCTTTAAAATTTGATTACAAAATACAAATGTGTGAAATAAATATAAAAATAAAATGTATTTATATAAATAAACATTTGTTTTTTCCTAGTGTTTGACTGTCTGACTTAAGGACCGACATATCTAGTGGACAGACACGTCTAGTGGACAGACACGTCAAGTGGACATACAACACGTCTAGTGGACAGACACGTCAAGTGGACATACAACACGTCTAGTGGACAGACACGTCAAGTGGACATACAACACGTCTAGTGGACAGACACGTCAAGTGGACATACAACACGTCTAGTGGACAGACACGTCAAGTGGACATACAACACGTCTAGTGGACAGACATGTCAAGTGGACATACAACACGTCTAGTGGACAGACACGTCAAGTGGACATACAACACGTCTAGTGGACAGACACGTCAAGTGGACATACAACACGTCTAGTGGACAGACAACACGTCTAGTGGACAGACACGTCAAGTGGACAGACAACACGTCTAGTGGACAGACACGTCAAGTGGACAGACAACACGTCTAGTGGATAGACACGTCAAGTGGACATACAACACGTCTAATGGACAGACAACACGTCTAGTGGACAGACACGTCAAGTGGACATACAACACGTCTAGTGGACAGACACGTCAAGTGGACATACAACACGTCAAGTGGACAGACACGTCAAGTGGACAGACAACACGTCTAGTGGACAGACAACACGTCTAGTGGACAGACAACACGTCTAGTGGACAGACAACACGTCTAGTGGACAGACAACACGTCTAGTGGACAGACAACACGTCTAGTGGACAGACAACACGTCTAGTGGACAGACAACACGTCTAGTGGACAGACAACACGTCTAGTGGACAGACAACACGTCTAGTGGACAGACAACACGTCTAGTGGACAGACATGTGTAGTGGACAGACAACACGTCTAGTGGACAGACAACACGTCTAGTGGACAGACAACACGTCTAGTAGACAGACATGTGTAGTGGACAGACAACACGTCTAGTGGACAGACATGTGTAGTGGACAGACAACACGTCTAGTGGACAGACATGTGTAGTGGTCGGACACGTCTAGTGGACAGACATGTGTAGTGGACAGACAACACGTCTAGTGGACAGACATGTGTAGTGGACAGACAACACGTCTAGTGGACAGACATGTGTAGTGGTCGGACACGTCTAGTGGACAGACACGTCTAATGGACAGACAACACGTCTGATGGACAGACATGTGTAGTGGACAGACAACACGTCTAGTGGACAGACATCACGTCTAGTGGACAGACAACACGTCTAGTGGACAGACATGTGTAGTGGACAGACAACACGTCTAGTGGACAGACATGTGTAGTGGACAGACAACACGTCTAGTGGACAGACATGTGTAGTGGACAGACAACACGTCTAGTGGACAGACATGTGTAGTGGTCGGACACGTCTAGTGGACAGACATGTGTAGTGGACAGACAACACGTCTAGTGGACAGACATGTGTAGTGGACAGACAACACGTCTAGTGGACAGACATGTGTAGTGGTCGGACACGTCTAGTGGACAGACACGTCTAATGGACAGACAACACGTCTGATGGACAGACATGTGTAGTGGTCGGACACGTCTAGTGGACAGACAACACGTCTAGTGGACAGACATGTGTAGTGGACAGACAACACGTCTAGTGGACAGACATGTGTAGTGGTCGGACACGTCTAGTGGACAGACACGTCTAATGGACAGACAACACGTCTGATGGACAGACATGTGTAGTGGTCGGACACGTCTAGTGGACAGACAACACGTCTAGTGGACAGACATGTGTAGTGGTCGGACACGTCTAGTGGACAGACACGTCTAGTGGACAGACACGTCTAGTGGACAGACATGTGTAGTGGTCGGACACGTCTAGTGGACAGACATGTGTAGTGGTCAGACACGTCTAGTGGACAGTCATGTGTAGTGGTCAGACACGTCTAGTGGACAGTCATGTGTAGTGGACGGACACATCTAGTGGACAGACAACACGTCTAGTGGACAGACATGTGTAGTGGTCGGACACGTCTAGTGGACAGACATGTGTAGTGGTCGGACACGTCTAGTGGACAGACATGTGTAGTGGTCGGACACGTCTAGTGGACAGACATGTGTAGTGGTCAGACACGTCTAGTGGACAGACATGTGTAGTGGACAGACAACACGTCTAGTAGACAGACATGTGTAGTGGACAGACAACACGTCTAGTGGACAGACATGTGTAGTGGACAGACAACACGTCTAGTGGACAGACACGTCTAGTGGACAGACAACACGTCTAGTGGACAGACATGTGTAGTGGTCGGACACGTCTAGTGGACAGACATGTGTAGTGGACAGACAACACGTCTAGTGGACAGACATGTGTAGTGGTCGGACACGTCTAGTGGACAGACATGTGTAGTGGACAGACAACACGTCTAGTAGACAGACATGTGTAGTGGACAGACAACACGTCTAGTGGACAGACATGTGTAGTGGACAGACAACACGTCTAGTGGACAGACACGTCTAGTGGACAGACAACACGTCTAGTGGACAGACATGTGTAGTGGTCGGACACGTCTAGTGGACAGACATGTGTAGTGGACAGACAACACGTCTAGTGGACAGACATGTGTAGTGGTCGGACACGTCTAGTGGACAGACATGTGTAGTGGACAGACAACACGTCTAGTAGACAGACATGTGTAGTGGACAGACAACACGTCTAGTGGACAGACATGTGTAGTGGACAGACAACACGTCTAGTGGACAGACATGTGTAGTGGTCGGACACGTCTAGTGGACAGACATGTGTAGTGGACAGACAACACGTCTAGTGGACAGACATGTGTAGTGGACAGACAACACGTCTAGTGGACAGACATGTGTAGTGGTCGGACACGTCTAGTGGACAGACATGTGTAGTGGACAGACAACACGTCTAGTGGACAGACATGTGTAGTGGTCGGACACGTCTAGTGGACAGACATGTGTAGTGGACAGACAACACGTCTAGTGGACAGACATGTGTAGTGGACAGACAACACGTCTAGTGGACAGACATGTGTAGTGGTCGGACACGTCTAGTGGACAGACATGTGTAGTGGACAGACAACACGTCTAGTGGACAGACATGTGTAGTGGACAGACAACACGTCTAGTGGACAGACATGTGTAGTGGTCGGACACGTCTAGTGGACAGACATGTGTAGTGGACAGACAACACGTCTAGTGGACAGACATGTGTAGTGGTCGGACACGTCTAGTGGACAGACATGTGTAGTGGACATACAACACGTCTAGTGGACAGCATTTGTAGTGGACAGACAACACGTCTAGTGGACAGACATGTGTAGTGGTCGGACACGTCTAGTGGACAGACATGTGTAGTGGACAGACAACACGTCTAGTGGACAGACATGTGTAGTGGACAGACAACACGTCTAGTGGACAGACATGTGTAGTGGACAGACAACACGTCTAGTGGACAGACACGTCTAGTGGACAGACAACACGTCTAGTGGACAGTCATGTGTAGTGGTCGGACACGTCTAGTGGACAGACATGTGTAGTGGACAGACAACACGTCTAGTGGACAGACATGTGTAGTGGTCGGACACGTCTAGTCGACAGACATGTGTAGTGGACAGACAA